TCCGTGGCCTGCCTTGGTGGACCGAGGGGGGGGGGGGGGGGGGGGTGCAGCAGGCATGGACACTCTGCTGCACAATATTGGCAGTGTGCCTGCCGCCCCCTTTTCACCCAGAGCGTCCCAGGTTGCTAATAGCCGGGCAACCTGGGAAGCGCTGGCCAGCAGCCTGCTCAGCTCCTGGCAACCAATGACATCACTGCTTGCCAGGAGCTGAGCAGGATGCTCTGGCTGGTGTCCTACCCAGCTCCTGGCAAACAGTGACATCACTGGTTGCCAAGAGTTGGAGCGGAACATATACCTCCCCCCTTCCCCCCCTTCCAGGTTAGCATGCACCACCCGTACCAACCCCACCCTGCCGCCGCCTCAGGCTAGGGACACCCCTGTTGCCACACAAAGTGTTTTTTCCATATCTGGCTATTGAGAAATATCATTCAATAAAAGTGTTTGCGTCTAGAGAGTTCACCTCTAAAAAATAAAAGCACCCACAATCGTTTTTTTAAAATTACTTTTCCTTAGCTTGGGCAGCTTCTGTCATTCAGCATTACACCAACACCTGAAACCAAATAAGAAATCTCAATTGTCAGAAGAGTCTGTGTGTAATTCCAAGCAGATAAGTGGCAGAAAAGAGGCAAATTACAGCTAAAAGATACAGAATCATTAATTACAGCTAATTACAATTGTTATCATGTTGACATGTATAATTATTTTAAGGAAAAGTTTAATCACTGTGGACATCCCCTTTAGTCTCAAATTACCTTGCTGATGTTGACTCTTCTCCCATTCCTCACATTAACCCTCCAGTAAAGAGAAACACATTGTGATAATTAGGAGTCACAAACCAATTGAATCAGCCACTGGGTGCGTATGTCATTTAGGACACTGACGGCGAGATCTTTATTTATGTAGCAGTGCCACCCATCTGCCGTGGCCATTCTAAAATGATCCCTCTATCCCCATTGTTATACATTATAATCAGAGAGGAAGAGTTAGCTGTAACAGGAGGAGTGAGACTTCATGGTAAAGGTGGAGGTGGCTGACTAGATGTCCTAATCCCTGCATTACTTGGAGATATAAGAGGTCACTTGGTGATTTTAACCCACCAGAAATGGGCATAACAGGGGTCATATTTATAAAGAGGAGACTGATGAATTCACCAATTATTTCACTGCCAATCCTGTTGGATGAATCACCACATTCATACAACTCATTGGCTGACCTGATTCACCTACACACTTATTAGATCATCATCGCATGTACAACATTAGGATTTTGCATTCCTCAGGGAGAAATCCAAGTCTCAGCAAGAGTCACCGTATCTATAATGCATTCACCAGTCAACATTGTGAGAAGGAGAAGTAAAGTACAACCACAAGGTAGTATCACAAATCAGGAAGCATGAGTGTGTAATAAGCAACTATGGCTGCCCCCATGTACATTTTTAATTACATATTCTACATAGAAGCAAGGTTTTAAATCGATTAAATACATCAAGTAAACATTATATATATATATTCGAATAATTGGCTTCTGATTGATTGGCCCTGTTTACGGCTGCACACACGCTGCGCGCCACACCTCCTCCTCACCTCACGCTCACCGCTGCCAGACCTGCCCGCATCCACGCTCCGCACCTCCTCCGCGCCTCACGCTCACCGCCCGCCGAAATTCACGATTGGCACAGGGACACGGGGAGAAGAAGTAAGGAGGAGCAGGTGTGGGCGGATGACAGCCGCCGACAGACAGGCCCGATCTCAGAAACAAGTTGCTGGAAGACTGCACTTTCACACACATGGTGCTCTATATATAGAGCAATGTACCATCAGCTATAGAGGAATACAAATCCCAGCAATACATTGTACACAGCATGTATAATGTATTGCTGGGATTTGTTGTACTCCTATATAGCTGGTGGTATTCTGCATTGAGCTGTGTAGAGGACTACAAATCAAGGAATACCACCAGCAATGCGGAATACCACCAGCAATGCGGAATACCACCAGCAATGCGGAATACCACCAGCTATAGAGGAGTACAACAAATCCCAGCAATAGTACATAATACAGTGGTGCAATGCCGAATACCACCATACGTCTAGATGCCTAAATGCATTGAGTTGCTGCTCTACGCTCACCCGCCCTGCACGTCCGTGCGGGTGCGGGTGTCCGTACTCATACGCTGACAGGATGGATCCTGTCTGCGTCCGAGCCGGGACACCCGCACCCGCTAATCACACTAAGCACCTGTCCTTCTCGGGAGCTGCCCGATACGGCTGTGCATGCAGCACGGAGCTGTACGTGCCGGCCTTTTCTCGTGTGAATGAGGCCATAGAGTTTTCAGCTGCCCGCTGATTGGATTTAACTACTTGCCTGGAACTGCGCTTTTACTACATTTGTGTATCCAGATCATAAACATACACTGTCATAAAACAGAAACTGTATTTGTATCATAAAAGAAGAATCGGTTCTAAAGGTGCAGCATTATGGAGCATACAGTTCTTCCAACATCTGCCTTCCCCGTATTAGACCTGATTTACAGCAAGTCCTGTAATTCCTTTTCCGGGAGATGTAAACACAGATTAATTCTCACCGGCCACTGGATGGAGATAGAGGTTATAAAATACATTTTTTTCTATTACAGAGCGGGGAAGAGATTAATGAGACTATTTAACTGCCTTTGCTGGATCTCCGGGCGCGATAGCCTTTTTTTTTTTTCTTTTCTGATGACATCATGGAAGCATTCAGAATATTGTGATATATGAATGACTCCACCAGGGTTTAATGCTGGAGATGTACAGAGCGAAATTGGCAGAATTTCAAGTACCTTTGCACATAAAAAAAATAAAATAAGTGTTATGCAGGAAGTCATGCCAACCAATCAACAGACATTACATCTATGATCGGAACTAATGGGTATTACAATTCAGGAAGATTGCGGGGCTACCATGGCGACAGGGCGAGGAAACGAAAATAGGCGCCGTAACACGATAGGCTGGTCGGCTTCATGCTATACATTCATGCTTCTGATTGAGGCGCGGCCTGGTGCCAAAAATATTGTTAAAAGTCATTTTAGGACATGGAGGAGACGGTGCAGCCAAAAGGAATACAATCTTGCAGCTGCCGCGGAAGTTTTATATTGCGCATTGATTAGTAGAAGACTTAAGGATGAATTAGCTAGCCCGTAACACGCTGGTCTCTTGGTGAACTACAAGGGCCAGCATGCCATGTCAACCAAAAGAGGCATATACAGCATACAACCTATAAAGATAAGTGATTCACCCAACAGGTCAATATTAAAGGGTCAGTCCAACCAAAACAGATATAGGAGGATTTAATGGAATCCATAGGCTAGTCTCTTCCTGAATGGGCTAGTGGGATTGCCATCATGCCGATCCTTTGGCTTTAATAATTGCACAGTCACAGACTTGCAATATGTAAGCAGATCAGGAATTCTGCTTTACAGGGAATTCACTTGTTCTATGCTTGCCCCTAAAAAAAAGAGGGATTTCCAAGTGGCAAAGTGGGCAAGGCTAAATTGTGCTGGCCATTGCTTAAGGCCCCATTCACACGTAGCGACATACCTTTTGCGGCGGCCGGGATAGCGCGCCTTTCGGGGGCGACATTCCAGCGATGGTTGCGCGACCTTCTCCGTCAGGCTCCATTATAAAAAAGCAAAATCGCGCAAAATCAGCCGAAAAAAGGGTCCTGTAGAAGCGACTTGCGACCGCGACGAGCGACGCGCGACATGGAGCTAAGACAGCTCCATTGAATATCATTAGCCGGCGACTTCTCGCGATATAAAAATGCGCGATAAATCGCTAAGTGTGAATGGGGCCTAAAGGGATATGCTTATATAGAGTCTTTGCCTGCTGCAGTATACACTGCATATACACTCACCGGCCACTTTATTAGGTACACCTGCTCAATTGCTTGGTAACACAAATTGCTAATCAGCCAATCACATGGCAGCAACTCAATGCATTTAGGCATCTAGACATGGCTATCATGTCAGTATGGACCAAACTCTCTGAGGAATGTTTCCATCACCTTGTTCAATCAATTCCACAAAGAATTCAAGCAGTTCTGAAGACAAAAGGGGTCCGACCCAGTACTAGCAAGGCGTACCTAATAAAGTGGCCAGTGATTGTATATGCCCTGGGTCCTTGTACTTACACATTGTATCACAGGTACACAGAATCCTCAAGACAAAGGGTCATCTTCTAAGAAATGCTTCCATTGCATATGCATTTCTGCACACAGAAGATAAACATATAGTTAAGAATTTTCCTCAGCCTACCTTAAAGCAGAACTCCATTGAAAATTATTATTAATACTTGCAGTTGCACTGCCCCCACACTGCAAGAGTTAAGTGCTCGTTTTGGTCTAGGGAGGAAAATAACAAAGTTATACTTACCCGATCCTCAGAGCCGGCCAGTTGTAACTGCGCTTCCTCCAGCCTGTCTCATCCTCCGCTGCAGCAATGGAATGTCCCTCAGCATATGTTTTAGACAAAATAAAAGCAACTCTGGCACTATAATTAAACATTTCAATAATGTGTCCGGCATTCTGCAGTGTTTGTTGCTTTACCTTTCTGTACCTTGACGTAGTATCTTCCGCAGCATTGGTGGCCCGGCTGAACTGCATGTACCTGAGCAGCACAACAAATCCAAGAGGAATTGCCAGCAAATGCAATGTAATTGCCTTCACAGCAGTGATATCCATCTCTTCTGCTATGCAAAACTCCACTGCAGCACACCTGTAAGAACACACAGAGCAGTTCAGTTCATGTGAATTACTCCCAGGAAACATGGGGGCTGCATTTATATTTAAAGTGACTATCAGTTGCAATAGAAATTCTGTCTTAAAGTTCCCTGTAATAGAAGAGGTATTATACTCACCACTCAGGCAGCCATTGTCTCTTGCCTTCGCTACAGCCTTCATCAAACTCCTCAGCATCCATTACTTCTCAGAGTGTTGGATGGATGCTTGTGCCCCCCACTGAGTTTCCATCCTCCAACCTCTACCTCACTACATGACACAGTAGTCCTACAGATGCACTTACGGCCAGATATCTTGCTAGATGGATTTGATTTCAGGGAAGCAATTGATAAGTTTCCACATAATGTTCTCATGAAAAAGTAGGACAAGCTAGGACTCAACCCTTGGGTGGTTCAGTGGATACTCAGTTGGCTAAGAAATAGATATCAGGGTGTGTTTGTAAATGGGGTTCATTTGGAACACAGACCAGTCAGTAGTGGTGTATCACAATGCTCCATGTTAGGTCTTGTTCTATTTAATCCATTTGTAACAGATGTAACTGAAGGCTTGGTGGGTGAGGTATATACAGTAGTGATGTGCAATTATTATTATCATACAGGATTTATATAGCGCCAATAGTTTGTGCAGCACTTTACAATATACGGAAGACATTACAATCACAATGCAATTCAAGACAAGATGGTAAGGAGGGCCCTACCCCTGAGGGCTTACAATCTAAACGGGAGGGGCAAGTGATACATGAGGACGTCTCTGTGTGGGGTAGACATGTGCGATTCGTTTCGTTACGAATCGAAATTCGTACGAATTTCCTGAAATTTGTAAATTCGGAAACATCCGAAATCCGAATTGCAGTTTCAGAATTATATCGGAAATAGGAAATTCCGTTAAAGAATTTCGGATCCGTTGAAACTGGAACTAATATTACCCCTGTAAATGAGGTTGAACAACATGACAAGATTTTTTTTTAAATCCGAAATACGGATCCGCTGCTGCTGAGGGTTGCATTACAATACAGGCAGGAAATACGAAATTCTGTTAACGGATTTTCGTTCCATTACGAACATTCGTTATGATGAAGTTAAAAAGCAAAATACCTTTGTTAATATTGGAGTAGATGCCTTGATGGTAGTTTTTTTAAATCCGAAATACGAAATTCGGATGCAAAATCCGTTAACGGAATTTCGTTTGGTTGATCAATCAGAGGTTTTCTCTTCTGCTGCTGAGGGTTGCATTACAATACAGGCAGGAAATACGAAATTCCGTCAACGTATTTTCGTTCCGTTACAAACATTCGTTATGATGAAGTTAAAAAGCAAAAATACCTTTGTTGATATGTTGGAGTTGATGGTAGTTTTTTTTCGGAAATTCGGATCCGAAATCCGTTAACGAAAATTCGTATTTGGGGGGTTGCAGACACTGAGCGGTTGGTTAGGTGAATGAGTCTGGCAGCTGCATTCATGATAGACTGAAGGGGGGAATAGCCTGTGTAGTGGTAGGCCAATGAGGATGGAATTGCAATAGTCAAGACGAGATACAACAAGTGAGCGAATTAGTAATTTTGCGGTTTCATTGGTGAGGAAGGGGCGTATATTCCTGGGACTGCATTTCTGTAACATTGGTCAAAGCATTGTAAACTGCAGTTCAACATTTCTAAATGCAAAATAATGCAATTAGGGGAAAAGAATCCTGATAGAGTTCAATATTTGGGGTATAGTGTTGGACAGGACTACAGAGAAAAAAGATTTGGGGGAGCTCATTTCCGATGATGGAAAAAGGAGCAAACAGTATGGCCAGGCAGTAGGTAAAGCTAATACAATACAGGGGTACACAACTAAAAGGATTACCAGCAGAAGAAAATAAAGCTGGCCATACACCTTACAATTTATCTGCAGATTTTCTGTGGTCAGATGGAAAAGGTGCAACAGATTCCTCCATCTACACTTAACTGTGTGGCTGGAGTAATCTCCACCTGGGCCAATCTGTTGCACTTTTTCCATCAGACCACACAACATCTGCAGATAATTGTAAGGTGTATGGGCACCTTAAGTCTTTATTCCCCTATATTGATTTTACGTAGACCTCATATAAAATACTAAAAGTCCAGTTCTGGAGATCTCACTTACAAAAAGATATTGAAGTGTTAGAATTAGTCCAGAGGTGGGAAACAAAAATGGTGAAAGATCTGAGGGATAAAACACTTCAGGAGAGACTGTAGAAACGTAATATGTACAGGAAGTAAGGGAAAGGGAGGGGGGGGTTTTGAAATATTTAAATACATAAAGGGTGTGAAGATGGAGTATCTTCAATATGAAGATCAAGAACATGACAAGATATGGCCTCAAACTAGATGTATTATTATTGGGCAATAGTGCTCGTAGACTTCTGTCCTCTGATTATAAACTAGACTTTTGGCCTTTGGCTGCACCTTTGGCTTTGAGCTGAGACTTAAGATCGTCTGTTGCTATCAATTGTTTAGTAGCTGCCTATACATTTAGCTTATTTTTCAAGCATTCAATGCTGGGGTCATGTATATTTCATATTGATTTTAAAGAAGTCAATAAAAATAGAGGTTTAGGTATTTATATGTATTGAACTTCAATGTGCTTGAGTGCATCCAGAAAAGAAACTAAGGATCTTCCTAACTAATAAAACTGTTACAGGGCAAAAAAAACTCTTGTAATTTTGGTATTGTAATACCTGTATTATTATAATACAGGATTTATATAGCGCCAACAGTTTGCACAGCGCTTTACAATGTAAGGAAGACATTACAATTACAATACAATTTAAGACAAGATGGTAAGGCGGGCCCTGCCCCTGAGGGCTTACAATCTAAAAGGGAGGGGCAAGTGATACACGAGGAGGTATATCATATATATCCTTTCTAATTTCTCATATAACCTATAGTTTTAGTTCAAGATGCTTTCTTGAGGACCTAACTATGGCTCCTGAACACTAGGGAATAGCCTGTTAACAAATCCATACACCGGAGAACATACCCCATGCAGACAGTCTTCTAAACTGAAAACCCCTAACAGTTTCTCTTTATAAAGTATTGAGGCCAGAAATAGCCAGATCAAAAGCATCCTCATAAGACTGTCAGCAATGGTAACGCCACTTCAAACTTTCTTTAATCAATATTGTTAATTATTACATTTTGTTGGGCATGTTCCTTTTAAGATGTACGGCATGATGTGCATAGTTTTCTTTGCACTGTGTTTTCTTTGTGCCATATAAATGAATTAAAAAAAAAAAAACAACAAAAAAACTTGATTCTTCCCCAATGTAAGTAAACACAGATGATTCCTTTTCTCCATTGGAAATTAAAATACATTTACTAAATTCCTCCACTTATATTTCATTTATTGTAAAACAATGAGAATAATGTTTAATAAATAAACCCCCTTCTCTCATATTAAAACAGCCGACTGAGCAAGATATTTTCCCTTTCAACAAAAGTGTGGCATCATCCGTTTTCAATGTGAAGGGTACGGAATGAGAGAAAGCCAAAAGAAAAAAAAAATGCAGCTGACGCTTCCAAATTGAATTATAGGGGTTGACGCTGACTTGAGAAATTCAGGTTTATTGAATTAGTTATTCAGTGCAAACAGTTATATTCTGAGGAATCAGATGCAGATCCGGGTGTCTGCTACACTGCCACAAGAGCTGTGGGGATGTTATGAGCCATTTATACAGTCATGATGTTATCTGGTGCCAAGTTAAATGGTGTACCCTCCTCACACTTTGGTGTATGCATAATTACTACAATGGGTATAGGACGCAGATTTAAAGAAATACTCAGCCACCAATTTCGCAGGTTCCCTCCTGCAAATCCTTTTTTAGGGCATCACTGGTCTGTCCGTAGTTTTATTTGTAATTTTTCAGGAATTATTACAGTTACCTTAAAAAAAAAACATTAGTTTAGAAAAAATGAATGCTGACACACTCAGCATACTGTATATGATGGCATACCCATGGCTACAAGGGTGCCAGCACCCACCATGCTGATACCATTTAACATGCCCATCAGCACTTGGAAAGGAGCCTCTCTCTCACACAACAAGTTTGCTCACACTCAGAAGGACAGGACCCACCCATACTGACATGGGGGTGAAAGGGGTCAATGGGGCATTGATTCTGCCAGTTGAACATTGCAGCCGGCAGTAGAGCTCACACCATCAACTGCTCCTTCACAACCGATTGGCTCCTTCCCAAACCTTCCAGGGCACTTGCAAATGGCATACACTTTGTGGTAGCGATGATGAGATAGAGTCCAATGGGTGGTAAAATATCTAGAGGGCTGTGTGAATGTTGGAGGCTGTGCTCTATATTTTGGATGCACATCCCACTGTTTATGACCCCTAGTGGAAGCAGAAAAAAACTTCTAGGGATCATGAGGTAAAACTTTCTCTCATGGCTTATCATTATGACATTATAGGCATGTTAGGTAGAGCAGCAGAGTCATGCATGTCCATGTTATCACAATGCCAGGTGGTGCAGATTGGACTTTAGTGCATTTGAGATGGATTTGCCATACATTTGCCATGATTCACAAGAACTTATATGGAGGGAAAAGAGCAAATCACAGACTGACCTTAACAGATTAGAAAAATCTCAAGCGCTGAGGTACTTTGGCCCTCTTTGTTGTCACATTTGAAACTTTAAAATTGTTGGATTGTGTTCTTAGTTTCCCTTGTCCCTTGTCAAAAGTTACCAAGTTAATGCTTGTGTTGCATATTGTTCCTAATTGGAGTTGCTCAGCAGCTTTCTACCATCCTCTACGCTCTGCAACTGCCCCGCCAGGCAGCGCTGGTCCGAGGATGGGTAAGTCTGTTACACACTCTAGTTGAGAACTATAGGCTCAAGTCAGATAGATGATAGATTTTAAATCTATCTATTATTTTATCTCAAGATAATGATCTCCGAAAAGCATTCAATTCATAAACATAAATGCCACATAGAATCATTCTTTTTCATATAAATTGGGCATTTAATTGAAAAGAAAGTCAGTCAGTCATGGTTATTAGTAAGCAACTGAATTTTCTGCTCGTAAGTTGGTGAATTTGTGCAGCCTTACTCTTTAGGGAAAGATGTGTGTGTTGTGATTTAGTTGTATTCTCTCCCTGTCAGAGCAGAATGTCAGCCATGTGTCAGACTGTAAGGCCCCCTATGGAGGCTGTTCTGTCTCCTGCCTGAGGTTTTGGCTGATAACTGACACTTTGTCTGGGCTGTTGGATGAAAATGAAACTATCACTTCACAAAGCCTTTGGTTTTCTCTTTTGTAACCCTGACAGCTAGACATGTAAGCTGCGGAAAAACTAGGTTCGGATATTTCGTTATTTCGGAATTCGGATCCGAATTCAATTCGGTTCATATTTCTGACTTGTTTACTAATATTCATTGCGAGTAAAACAGAAAAACATATACAGATATTAATACTAAAGCTGAATCTCCTAGACCCGAATGGCATTCGGGTTCCAAATTTCCGAATTGCATTTGGGAGCTCCCGAATGCTATTAAGGTCTAAGCTCAGCTTTAGTGATATATGTACTGTATATGGCTACCAGACCCAAATGGCATGCGGGTTCCGAATTTCCGAATCGCATTTGGGAGCTCGCGAATGCCATTCAGGTCTGGAGCCATATACATATATTACTAAAGCTGAGGCTCCCAGACCCAAATGGCATTCAGGATTCTAATTTCTGAATTGCATTCAGAAATTAGGATCCCAAATGCTATTCTGGTTTACGAGCCTCAGCTTTAGTATTATATGTATACACTGTACATGGCTCCCATGCTGTAACGAAAATTCATGTTCAGACCCATTCGGATGCATTAAACCGAAAAACACATCTGATTGGCCAGAAAAGTCACATGTTCGATTCAGTTTCTTTTTGAACGAAATTCGGACGGGATCCGAAATCGGGAAACCGAAATTCGGATTCGGATACATTAGGATGTATTGGGATTTGGAAAGTCGAATATGTCCGAATGTCCGAATTTTGGAGAATTCGTCCAAAACGAAAACGCACATGTCTACTGACAGCACCTTTGTTATAAGATGGTTCTTGAGCACATGTAATTAGTAATAAGTTCAGATGAGGGACAGCCTGATATGCAGACCTGATACCTTTATTGTGACATGTAGAGAAAACAACTAAACAACTAAAGAAATCCTTCAGAGGTAAGGCTACACTATTGCAATAATTCAAGAGTGGAGATTCAAGCACTAGGCAAACTAGGCAGCCGCCTAGGGCGCGCTGATGTCTAGGGTGCAGCTTTGACCACT